AAAAAAAAAAAAAAAAAGGTAGATTATGTGGTATAAACAATAGAATCCAAGTATGGTTAACATTCTTCAAACTATCCATCGACTACTACAATTTTAAATTATGATTCTTTTTAAAATTTATCTCTTCAAAGAGTGAAACCTGTAACTCTTTTCTTTCACTCTCTTGAAATCCCTAGGGTTATTTTTGCTTGATCCAGTGATTTCATTTGGAGTCACCATCCATCCTTGTAAGTTTCCGTTACTGCTGTAGCTCTGGTAGGCATCCCTCTCTTTTTTTCCCAGATAAAAGCAGAAGATTTTAAAGTTTAGAACAAGACAGCCCAGGCTGGGCGCGGTGGCTCACGCCTGTAATCCCAGCAGTTTGGGAGGCCGAGGTGGGCGGATCGCGAGGTCAGAAGATCGAGACTATCCTGGCCAACATGGTGAAACCCCACCTCTACTAAAAATACAAAAAATTAGCCGGGCGTGGTGGCGGGCACCTGTAGTCCCAGCTACTCTGGAGGTTGAGGCAGGAGAATGGCGTGAACCCGGGAGGCGGAGCTTGCTGTGAGCCGAGATTGTGCCACTGTCCTCCAGCCGGGGCAACACAGCAAGGCTCCATCTCAAAAAAAAAGAAAAAAAAAGAACAAGACGGCCTAGTACCCCATCTTTGTGTATCTCCCAGCTTCCCTACCTCTCTGTAGCAGAAACAGTATTTGAAAGGTTACATATACATATACAAACATGTAATACTCACATAAGGCCTAGAAATAATTTCCCCCCTTCCAAACACATAAGATTTTCTTAGAATATATTTTTTTTCTTTTTATTTACATTTATTCTTGTTCTTTCTCTTCAGGAATTTGCTTCAAAAGTATATGTTCTTTATCTCTCCTTCTTAGTACTCCTCAGATTCATGCTTATTGTTTTAAAAGCCAGATTGCTTCCTTAGATTGTAAACCCCATGGAAGTAAGGTGACTCAGTGAATATCTATTATTTGACTAAACCTTCAGGTTTAATTACCCACAGAACTAGCTCACTTAAGAAATCAGATACCTCTGTATTTTGATATAAATTGGATAATCTAGTGAATTACTTAGAATTGATTATTATTACATATTATTATATATACAATATATATAATATAGTATATTATAAAAAAGTATGGGTGTATGTGTATACATGTATATATATATGTATACATATACACACATACCCCCCTCCCCCCATTTTTTTTTTTACACACAGGGTCTTACTCTGTCTCCCATGCTGGAGTGCAGTGGCACAGTAATAGCTTACTGAATCATCTAATTCCTGGGCTCAAGTGATCCTCTCACCTCTGCCTCCCAAGTAGCTGGGACTACAGGCATGCACCACAATGCCTAGCTAAGTTAAGAATTTTTTTTAGAGATTTGGGTCTTGCTCTGTTGCCCAGGCTTGTCTGAAAGTCCTGGCCTCAAGTGATCCTCTCTCCTCAGCTTCCCAAAGTGCTGAGATTACAGGCATGAGCCACTGTGCCCAGGCTGAATTCTAAAAGAGTTTAGTTTCTACTAGAATAACATTTTTTTTCAACAATCAGTTTACATATAAAAATCAACAATGTTTAAAAAGAGGTTTGCAGGGAGTTTTTAGTAGTTTGTGTTTCTGAGTTGTCACTGGAATGGAATCGGATGATAAACCCTTCATCTTCCAGTCAACTCCAGTGTTTTATTTTTAATATTTGGCAACTCATAGTAAATTTAGTCTGCCTAGTTTACTCAGATTATAACAACAGCACAAGTAGAAGAAAGAGTGCTAGACTTGGAGATAGAAATTGTTTTGTAGTTCTCTTCACCACTTATTAGTCATGTAACCTTGAGTAAACTTCAGTGTTCTCATTCAAACTGTGGGCCCTTCTTACTTCTTGTTTTGGTTGGATGTAACAAGGGTACAGTGCTCTTATTAATACTAATAATGTCACACATATAATTATCTTTTTATGGTTATCTCATAATTATGCAAGAAGCAGCAGGATGTGAATGGAGAAACATGAAGGAGCAGGAAGAGAGCAGCGACTGTAACACTTCCTTTTTTTTCATATTCTATTCTTACCTTTAGATGCTGGGAATAATGAGTAGCCTCCAACCTGGAAACTAACCCTTATTCAACCACCACCACCAGTTATCTCAGAGAGTGGTACAGAGACAATTGAGAGTGACTCTCACTAAAAAACAGTGGTAGACTAATTAGAGCATTTAAAACATTCCATTTGAACTACATATGTAATGTCTTTCTTTCCTAGATCAACACTGGACAGAGATGTGTTTTCCTCTTAAGTTCTCTCTTTCTTCATCATAGATTTGTTTGTAACTTTTATTTAGTCAGTAATATGATTAGAGGTATGGCAATTTGAATTTTTTTAGTTTTTCATTTAAAAATACCTCACATGGCCAGGTATGGTGGCTCACACCTGTAATCCCAGTACTTCGTTACGCCAAGAGGGGAGGATTGCTTGAGGCCAGA